GGAAACACGTCCAGAAGTGGCAGGCTGCGGTTTTTTGTTTGCAGGTAAAATTCAATCTTGTTTCAGTTTGGAGGCCGCCGAGAGTTTTCCAGGAGAAGTTTCGCCACGGCACAGCCCCGGCCAGGTTTTTCCATCGTACGGAGCGGCTCAGCCAGGAAGATGTGAAGCGTTTGGAAAAGCAGTTCGTCGGGAAAATCCAGTGGGAAGCAATGAAGGCTGCAGAGCAAAGTGAGCAAGGTGCGGCCTCCTCGTCAGCAGCCGTGTCCTCTTCGACAAAGCCACAGCCGGCAAAAGATGAAGACTCGTCAGCTGCTGACAAGTCCATGGAAAGTCGTTGGGGACCGATTTTTGCAAAGGTCCTGGACGAAATTCTGTACATCAAATTTGCATCGAGCAAGTGGCCGTGCGACCTATCTTCTTCTAACTGGAGCGGGGCGACGGAGTGGAACCAGCTGCTAGAGCAGTTCTGGAAGGTTCATGTGCAAAGTTGGATGAGGAAGAAAGCCTTCAGGCAGCGTGCCTGGCAATTGCTGGAGGAACACCTTGGCATAAACAATGTGCCGGTCGATATATCCGAAGAGGTTGTGTTGCAGCATGAGCTACGTTTGCAGCAATTATTGTTGGAACGTCCGGCAGACTCGTCGCCGTCACCTGCTCCGAAACCCGCTGAGCCGCAAGGACAAGCAGAAGAAGAGCCGAGGGTGGGGCTGCGATGGAGCTGTTGATGCAGTCGGACTGGCTAACCACTGCTCCAAGCGATCACGAGAGTGAGCTGTGGAACGCTTTTTGTCATGGTTCAGGAGTGGGTGTCTGAGGCGCGAGGAGGGGGAGCAAGGGAACGAGGAGGGCGGGGTGGGCGAGGGGGAACGGAACCTCACCCATTTCAATTGAGGAGGGAGGGCTGGGGGCAGCAGGGGGAGCAGCAGGAGGCGGTGAGAGGAGCACAAAAATTTTGGGATAGGCAACACTATGGTTCTTCACTGACGCCGGCCCCAATGGAGATCGCAGGAGCAAGGGAACGAGGAGGGTGGGGTGGGTGAGGGGGAACGGAATGCTTTGGGCATGGGGGCAGCAGGAGGCGGTGAGAGGAGCACAAAGGTTTTGGGATAGGAACACTATGGTTCTTCACTGACGCCGGCCCCGCTGGGGTCGGCGGATATCTAGATAGAGCCTCAAGTAGACCTTGTATCTACTTGCTCAAGCATGAGAAGCATCGACTCGAGTAAATGATGCCAAAGTACTATGTCGAATAACGCTATTCTCCCATCAAGTTAACATAATTGCCACCACGTCAACTGAAATATGTGAGTAGGCAGGGGAACCTACTTCAATAGTTCCCTTTCATTTTTGGTTATTGGAGGTAAGGGCCAATACTTCAATTGAGTAATGAATTCAGCTAATGCAAATCATGTGACTATAGCAAACCCTCAGTTGAGTGTTAGTCTGTCGTTGTCTTAGCCGGATTCAGATGTTTCATCTGAGTTAGCTGAGTCCCCTGGCTATGACTTAAACATCTTAAACAGTTTTGAACATGGAATTAGAGGCCAATGCTCGAAATCAAAAGGCTCGGGTCAATAAATTTTTAAAGAAGTTGAGTAACAGAATTAGGCACTAATTCTATACTTGCAGTGGTCTTCACTAATGAATTTAACGGGGTTGAAATCCGAACAAAAAAGGTGTCTTCCTCCTGATCGGACCATGCTAACCACTTGCCATGTTTACACATCTTGCATTATCTTGCCATAAAGAACTCGCCTTCTATTTTGATGTAAAAACATGTAAATCCCCCGGCCAATTTTGACTCGAATCACCAATTCTATGCTGAGATTCTCCTACGTTCGGTGGAAATCCTGAACAGAGGAGTAATTCTTCTTGTGCGTGGATTTCACTCAAGTAGATTGGTTTTACCGCCTGCAACAATTTCCATACTTTGAATGAAAGAATTAGTACCTCCTTTACTGTTT